TTCATATCAAGCAATAAAACAGACAGAGAACAAATCATTCAATTATCTTCCTCGTTAATAAATTCACTATTTTGTTAATATATAGTTCTCAAAAACTATAAAACAGACAAAGAACCAATCTTCTGCCACAATTCCATGACAAAGTAGATGTACCTAAACTCAATCCATCAAGCAGCACAAGGAATACTCCATGAAGAACTGCATATTCAGGTCCCAGACTTCTTTCCGTCACATTGAAAAAAGCAATCCAAGAAATGAGATCTCTCACAGTAAGCATTCTATCAGGACGCAATTGGTTGAGCCACTGAAAAACATGCGTGTAAAAAACAAATGATCAATCAGATATAATAGCTCTGATCAAATGAAATAATCACCATAACACCAAACAGCACCTAATAGTAGGACATGGATTTTAGGTTACACATGCTATAAGCCAAAACATTTCTATAGGAATTGTGAGGATCGAATCAGTTTCGCTCAACTTAGATAATAGATTAGAAGAATTTGATAGAAGCCCCCTCTAAACAAACTTACAAGAAGACTAGAAACCAGAAATGAACAACAAAGAATGGGAATACTTGAGATTAATAATGCTCTTACTGCATAAAAGATAATTACAACACAACATAGGAACTCTAGAACATACACACAAGTTTGCCAGAGAGGATTGGCTCTCTCCCTCCAAAGGCTAAGCCACACTTCTCAAAATTCTTCTCTGCCTTCTTGCTCAGGGAAGATTTATAGACCCAAAAATGACTCTCACAGCCCCCAACTCAGAGAGCTTGATTATAGCAGTCCTATAGCAATCTATTCTCTCCTTCTTTCTTCAAAATAGCAAGTCAAACTTTTGCCCAACATAAGTATTTTTCCCTTTTCATGTATCTTCCTAGGTGTCTAAAGGTGGTCTTAACAGAATTCCAAATAGGAATTAACTGAATAAAAGAGAACCAACCAAAATCAGCTCAACTGGAAAAAAATTTTAAATGTGAAAAAGTAAACCAATGGTTTCAAATTACAACAGTGAATCTGCAGATAGCATACCTCCCAAAAACATATCATAACATCAACAATATCACCGCTTGAGAGTTTATCCCGATCAGAAGGACATGAGTCGCTTGCATCTTCAAACTTTGAAATTCTGAAAAAGAAAGGCATATATAGAAGGAACAAAGGAAGTTGAAATAAACACTCATCATTTAACTTTGAAACTGACCGATACCTTGTCAAAGCAATCTCTCGAAGTTCATCTAAATCACTAACAGGGGAAACCCATATTTCAGTGAAGCGATTGCGCAATGCTGGAGATAACTCCTTCTTACCATAATCACCACTAGGGTTCATGGTCGCAAGAACAAAAAATTTTGGGTGAGCACAAACCTCCTCCAGATCATGCCCCCCTTTCTCAGCCAAAGACTGCAAGCAAAAATTGGGAGAAAACAAAAGGTAGTGGAGTTAATAAATAACTAGCTGTTCATGACTAAGCAAGTGAATGCAATTATTGTTCATGCACAAGTGATCCTTTTTAAAAAATCCTAATTAATAACTGTGCATTAACTAATTTTGGACTGGGAAAGTATTTGCAGCAAAACTTTTAAATAAGATAAGAGTTGAACCATAGTCTAAGTGGGATGAATATAATTAAGGATGACAGGATTGCAGGGCAACGGTATAAATTAATTGGTAATTTAGTCTGAATGGTACTAGCAGTGTAGTCTGAATGGTACTAGCAGTGTGAGCAATTCTAGATTGAATACTAGCTACTAGCATGCTGCAGATAAGCTGTGTGATTTCAAAAATTGTGTTTTGATGCTATAAAAGACCGCTTGATCCAAAATCAAATAAAAAGTTTTATATCCAAAATGACTTGCAAGCACAACGGCTTACAGACAACAATACAAGGGTCTGTTGATAGTGCTTCTACATGAGGAACCACATTGCAGATATATAAAAAGCCTTCATGAACTCTCCAAGGCTTAAGCTTTTATGCTGAAATGTCCAAAACAAAAGTATGGTTACTTACCAGTTTCCTTTCGGGCTCTAATACACTATTCAATCTCTCAAGCACACTGTCGTCAGCCAGAGATATCTCATCCACAAGAAAGAGATCACCATCTCTCATTGCTTTCACAAGGGGCCCATCCTGCCATACAAATATACTCTGCCACTCATGATGAAGCTCATCTAGGTCCAACCTCAACTGCTCAAAAGCATAAAGATCATCCATGGTGACATCAGGACAACAAACTTGACCTTCTCTATATTTCCTTATTACACCATTCAGCAAACCAAGGGTCGAAGAAGCATGATCTATGTCAGAGGAAACACACTGCAACAGAAAATGTAAATCAGTGTCTGTTGTATTGGAGGGGAAAAAAAAGGAAGAAAATAACATTGACAAAACTGGTGTAAAGAAGAAGCCTCTACATGAAAAAATTTAAAATAACAACGAAGAAAGGGGAAGAAAAAATAGGGGCCATATATATCCACAATTATCAACACAAACTCTTCAAATGATCCAAAAGGGAAGTATGGAGATATAGCACTCACAAGGCCTTGAGGAAAACAGGTATAAGCCTTTAACTTCTTCAAGTGTTCCACTATTTCTTCATACTTGGATATCAGTCTAGATCTTTCTCGGACAGGCCGGAACCCCTAGTACAAATTTCCCCAGTTAGCACCTCATAAATTAAAAAGACACGTATTTCATTCAAAAACTCCTTCCAACACTAAAATAAACAAAATGCATAACTGACCCCAATAAAATCAGATGTTTCGGTATACTGATGACAATTCAAGATATGTAACTTCATCTGCAAACAAGCACTTAGAAGCTGACAGACAGTAGTCTTTCCTCCACCAGTTTCCCCAACAAGCAGCACAGGCTCACGCAATTGGTAGCAGCGTTCAACAAGGAAGTACAACCTCTGCATGCTCTTGGTCAAGTTAAAACTGTATAGGACAAAAGCATCAGTATGTATGTGATTAGCGAAACATTTTGGACCAACTGAAAAGGGATAAAAAACCAATACCGTTCAAGACTCTTTGAACATCCAGAATCAACAGAGAGTTTGAAAGAGTGCTTCCCCTCACATATCATCTGAAAATTGGAAGGAAAAAAATGTTTGAAAAAAGGGAAAAAAAAAAACAATTCTAAAAGGCACTTTTAATGAAGAGAGGCTTACTGATCAACTATTCATTATTATTACCAAGTAGCGTGTAACCATTTGCCAATACTAACTTTTGAAAAATATAGAAATTTCCAAATATTCCCGTGAGCTCAATCCAAAAAAGGGAAGGGACATAATCCTCGATTATAAAGATGTATAAAGAAAATACATAATACATAATATAGACATAGTCACGGCGGTTTTGAATTTAAAACCAGATTACCCAATTCTTCTCAACATCAGACCAGAAAAAGAATCCGTTCACAAAAAAACAATGGCTAGTAACTTAAACCAACAATTTATAATAAATTAAATATTTGAGAATATTTACCCACAAATTCACACTCCATATTCACAAGGGTTCAACTTCAATAATTGGTCTGGAAATTTGAACTTCAGATCATATCATGCAAGGATATATATTACAGAATAAGCTTGCCAACACCAAACGAAGGCATAAATAAACAGGGCAATCTTCCATTCAATATATACTAAATGTATGTTTACAAAATGGATGGTCAAACTAATTCTGCGAAAGCTACAAAATAAGCCAAAATAGGGGGGGAAAATCAGGGCAATGTCAGCGTTATCACTAGCTGAGCAGGAATCACCAAAATTAAGAGACCATACCTGATCATAGATAATGTTTCTGTTTAGTTTAACCCGCAGATGTTTCTCTAGAATTTCTTGAACAATGGACCTTTCACTCTCATCCCGTAATCTTTCAGCCAAAAGATAATAACCATCTTTGGCCAAATCTTCATAGGATTTTCCAAATCTTTTGTAACGATCAGCCCAGCGAAATAAATCTCGGGGAGTCATAAACTATGTTTCCCATCAGAAAATCTACTACCCTGCCTGCACCGCCGAAGCTCCTTCATCACTTCAACCATTTTTCTAGCATAACTTTGAGGAATTTCACATCTCTGCTCCAGTATTACGCTCAACTCATCATCAGGAATTTCACCAACATGAATCTCTATGAAGCGATTGCGAAATGCCCGAGATAACATTTTACGCCCAGCATAAAGAATAGGTGGATTTTGAGTGGCAAAAAGCATGAAGTTTGGATGTGCTTTAATTGTAACTTGCAGTTCAGGAACAAAAAGCTCCCTGTTATCATCAAGCAACCGATTCAATGCCTCCAGGACATCAGATGGAGCCAAGTTAAGCTCATCTAATACAATCCAGTAACCATTTCTTACCGCTTTAACCAATACACCTTCAGTAAAAACAAGCTTACCACTAGCATCAGTTATGTAAGAACCTAGATACTCTTGCAAATCAGTGTGCTCATGATTATTAATTCTCACAAACTCATGACCTGTCAGTGCAGCAAGATAACGAACAAGGCTAGTTTTCCCACTAGATGTGGGTCCCTGTAGAAGCACAGGATATCGCTTAATCAGAACAGCACGAGCCAAATTCCCAAGGTGCTCCCTAACACTTTTGGTCAGAACATAGCTCCCCAAGGAAGCATCAGATTTGGTGGAGGTTAAATATCGGTCAAAAGGAACATGTGGTGGAGGTTCACTTGAGTTTAACAGAAGAGACAAGATTTTCCTTTCCATTATTTCAGCACTACGCCCATCCAATAGTGTGAGGAAAAACATACAAAAGCCATCATATAATGATTTATGAAACCCAAATTTTCTCTCCGCTTTCCTTGTATATTCAAGAGCACGGTAAAGGGACCTTAAACTGTATTGAGCTTTCTGATTAGCACCATCCAGCAACCTCTCTTCAGCTTCCTCTTTGGATGTTTTATAGAAACAGACAATTTTATTTACTAGCTCCCGATCATTATGGCCATCACCAATAAACTGATAAATAAATAGACTTAAATCATCATCATCCAGCACATCATCAACATAATACTCGGTAAACCTACTCCTTAAAGAAAAGGGTAGGTCCCGCTTCCCAGCATCTGTTGCTGGGTTCATGCAAGCAAACATACGGAAGTTTGGATGACATTGTATATAATCAATATCACCTCTTTCAGCCAAACAAAGGGCCCCATTCTCCCCCTCCAGAACCCCAATAATTCTCTGTAAGATCTCTGGAGGGGCTAGATTCACCTCGTCAAGCAATATCCACTCACCATTTCTAAGTGCAGTAATAAAACTTCCTTCTACAAAAGAAAACATCATCCCTGAAGATGGATCATTACACCAAGCACTTTCAAGTTTAATTGAAAATCTTTCCCAAGCCTTGATGTTTTCTTCATCCAATGGCTTTTTACGCTTCTTGCTAGACCCAGCTTTTTCAAGCTCAACTGACTTATGGAAAATGTCAACTCCTCTACGAAATCCTTTTAGTAGCATTTTCCATTTCTTCTCAGTTAGATATTTTTCTAGCTGCGTAAGAAAGTTCATATTTTCCTGAATGGAAACAAACAACTTAGAAACATTTAACTCCAGCTATACACTAACTAACCAGATATTTTGATAAAAGGAATACCTTCACAGAGAAAGTTCTGGAGAAGAGGTCCTTGAACTCCTTATGGAGGGGGAAATAAACAAATTGTGCATTCATAGGTTTATATCCACCTATTAAGTCTGCAACATCACTTTGCTGACTTAAATTCTGAAATAAAGTGTATCACTCAGTCTGACTGTTAATCGAATTTCAAATATAAGGAATACTGAAAACGTCAAGCACATAAAAGCAAGCATACCAAAACAGTAAGCTTCTGACCAAGTCTTAGTGCCAAATTTTGAACAAGAGTTGTCTTCCCAGTGCCAGTTTCCCCTACCAAGAGCACAGCCTCATTATACTTGACAGAGCATGCTATGCGCTCAAGCACATGCAGAGAACTTTTGATCTCAACAAAAGGTCGCATATGTTCTTGTAACTGCATAATAACATAAAAATATTGCCAAGGAAAGATGAGACCATTTTCATTGTAAAAATTTTATAAAAAATTTTCAATCCACCATACTCACAGCTTTGTAGTGTATTGGAGGGAAACACGTCCTATTCTTAAATCAGTGACAGAATCCTGCAGTTCACTGCCAAAAATAAGAAGCTGAAGTTGCCAAATAATATAAGAAACGGTCAATACTGTTGTCACCAACAAACCTGAATTATTGGTTTGTCATGGGGATACAAGGTCTCAGCAGCTGATATTGGCACCGGCCATAACTTTGCTATTTCTTTCATTATAGACAACCTCTGTTTAGACGAAGTTGAGAAGGCTGCAAAAACATCAACAGCCTGCATACAAGAAAATAACTATACATCAAGTAATTGAAATTTTTCAAAAAAATTCAGAAGCAAAAAACGTAGAGATCACCAGTAAAACAGACCTCTTTATACACTAAATAACATTGGTACTCTGATATGCAACCACCATCATAGCTAAACCCCAAGCCCACAACACGCTTGCACCATTTAAGGAGATCCCTGTCATGGAGAATCAAAAGCTACTTTTATAAAAGTAAATGGACAAAACGAGCAAAGAAAAGCCATACTTTCCTTAGTTACCTCAACGAAAATCTGTTGAGGCAATCAACAGAAGCAGAAGTCCCAGAGTCGGAACCCACAATCTGATGCATGCAGGTGGAGTTAACCCTTACAAAAGTTTCTACCAAAGATAATCATAGCAGTGTAAAAACGATGGGTCAGTTTTTATCTTTAAATTCAAATAAAAGAAAGAATGTGTGACCCTATATGTTGGCAGAAATTGATGCAAATACCTATAAGCCTGTCAACAAGAAGCTCCAACATTGGATACCAAACTATGATTATATCTTTCAAGTCTTCTTTCTCTGGAGGCCTAACCATCACTCTTCTCCAAAGGACACTAAGTGAACCTCGACCTACCAATACAACAAAATTCAGAATTAACTTCATAATTGAAAGATGGATTTTCAGCAAAAAGAATATACACCATTTGATAATTTTAATCACTCTTTTTTATCATGCTTAGGGCTTACTCCATATTTGCAGGCGGATTATTATAACTGATTTACAGAGGGCTTGTGAGTTAAAGATCATTCAACCTCTCCCATCTTCATTTTTTTTTTTTTGTTTTTAGATAAAAAAAATTAACCTTTTTTTATGAGAAGAGTCAATAGTCCAGAGGTACCAACCACGGAGGATATAAGATCATCCTCAACCAAAAAAAAAAGAAGAAGAAGAAGAAAGCAACCAATGATCTTACTCAGACTTACCATCCAATCCCTTTTCAGATTCATAAGAGAAATCCCAAAACGAACAATTAGCAAAAGCAGACAAAGAGAACATGTAAAGTAATATCTTCCAAAGAAGATTTTGGCAGACGGCGTTGCATATTGAACAATCCAGGATTTAATTTATAACCCATTAGAATTGAAAAACCGGGGGGGGGGGGGGGACTAAGAGCCCAACATGATCAAAAAGGATTTAAAGTAAATATGAAAACCTTAGGAACAAAGCATAAACTGAAGAATTTTCATTAAATATTTGAACAACAGTGGTTGCATAACCATATTCCATTCTTATTATAGCACTCTGAAGTTGAAAGGATTTATTATAATGCAATGAACAACTGAACATTGAGATGTCCCAAAGTTTTTTCTTTGGGCCACAAAGATGTATAACAATTTGAAAAACAGCTTAAACAAATTGTTTAAAAACAAAAGGACACCAACAAAAATATAGAGAATCTGGCTAGAAAATAGGAGGAAGACAAAGTCAAAAACCTGCACCCTGGGATGCTTCAAGGTTGGAAGTTGCAACAGTTGAGAACATCCTGAAACCTTCTGCCACCCTTATTTCCTGCACATTTAGTTTCATGCTTCAATTATCAATGACGAAAGAAACGGTCTGACATAGATGCTATGTATGAGGAAAGCATACAGGATCAACAGGTTCTAAAATACGTATTGATTAATCAGACCTCTACATTTATTCTGCTTTCTCTTCCTATAAGAGAAACAAGGAAGCTAACAAATTATACAATGTGCACAGTAAATTGGCAACTAAATTGAAAGTAATGCTAAAAAAATTTTTGAAAAAAATACCTCCCTTCTATCTTTACAATATTTAGCTAATGAATTTGAGTGGGCGCTATCAAGTGCTTAAATTTCACTTAATTAGAACAAAGCCAGTGAAGATTTATACTTGACTGCTTGCTCGTAGAACAGTAGAAGTTCCGATATAATGCAAGCTTAAGTTACCCCTTGGGCTCTATATCTCACGACTTACTGTTATTCAGGATTCACCGTGAATATTGAATAAACTAGATCTTTCATGTTTCTCGACCATTCATTGTCTCTTCACTCCAAGGGGAAAAGCCAAGAAAAATAAAGGGGCCATAGAGACTCAAAGCATCAATGGAACCGTTTAATCCTTCTGCAAATAAAAAATGGGCATGCCCTTAAAGCAGCCATGAGCAATGGACCAGTGATCGACCATAAACATAATTCTATCAAAACGTACCGTAGGTGATGTCAAAAAATGGGGCAAGAAAGGGGGAGGGAGCAGAAGGAAGAAAACAGGACGTAAAAGGGAGAAAGAGAGAATTGAGGAAGAAACAGAGAAGAGAGAAATTAGAACCGATAGCACATTATAGTCAATAGCAATTCATCAAAGCCTCCATGTTGGAGTCCTATCACCAGCTTTACTCTCCAAAGGAGAGCTCAAGTAAGCAGTGGGGAAATTATGGGAAACCTAACCAGATTTATTTTATGCTATAGTTTGTATTTGGAAACCCATTGGTCTTGGTCAAAACACATTTTGGCCAAAGCAATGCGAGAGTGTATTAGGATTCAACTTGTTGGCCAAAAAACTCAAAAAAGTATTAGGATTCAACTTTTAGACTCTCAAAAGTCCCTTTGGGAAGCCAGCACTTGCCAGACCTTGTGTGAGTATTTTTCTTTTAACTTCAGAAAGTCCATTTGCCATATTTCTGAAACTCTATTCGCCAAAAGCCAATTTTGATTACTTTCCAAAAATTCTTTTGGCTTTTGAACAAATTTCAATTGCTTTCCAATTATAAAAGCTAATCTAGGATTCTTTAAACAACATTCAGTTCACCGAACTGACTTTTTCATAACATCCAAACATAAATTCCCTTACATCTTTTACCAAACTTTAATTTGACAAATGGACTTCTGATAAACGGACTTCTGACAAACTAAACCTGATACGCTTTGACTCAAAAGTTGTAGAAGGTCTTCTTTAAAGGGTTTCCAAAAATAGCCTATAGTAATTTTATTCTTCAGCTTTCTCAGAATCGATTTGAAATTAGGTTTTATCTTCTCAGTTTAAGTTTCAGTTGTTATCAGTAATATTTTCAATCATTTTATTTGGGAATATATATATAAATAAAAGCCCAAAGGTTACTCTTTTTGTAGACCTTAGAATTGAACTGCTAATAAGAATATTTTGCCATCAACATGGGAGGCTCTCTTTTTCTCACTTAATCTCTCTTACTCCCCCTTTCCCCCTTGTGCGACAACAAAAGGTCTAAAATACACCAGTGGAAACCAAGCTCTCTTCTCCAACCGACCGAACGAACAGAGTCATTGAGGCATTTTAAAAATACACCGAGAGAAACATCTCCAAGGTAAAAAGTAAAAAGAAAAACAAGACCCTGATTCTCCATGAATTCCAGAGTCCTGACTAATTTATCCTAGAAGTACGTACCCAACCCTCAATTTAAACAGACCAAAGCTACAATGAAACTAATGAGCAAGTCCACTTAGAACATGACTAGTAAATGAGTACAATCATTTCATCAGCAAGGAGTTAAAATACAAGGAAACTACCTGCCCGTTCCCGATCATAAATGAGCCAGTCCCTTCCAATAAAGGTGTTAAAACAGAATGCACGTCTGGTGGGGCTTTGTCGATATCCTCAAAAACAATCCAAAAACCATTCTGCACAGCCTATGATAAAGATAGCACAGAAAGATGAAACAGGATGCTTTCTCAGGAAGTACTGTGTACACTGACATCACAACATCTGTCAATCTCATAACTAGATAATATGGCAAGAAGGGAAAACAAACCTGAGTAAGCGACCCTGGCTGCCATCTAAATTCTCCAGGCCTATCTGCACACACATAACCTCCAACCAATGTTCTACTATCAATTTGATCATCCATCTGGATAGATAGAACTGCAAAGAGGATTAGGTCATACAGATTGTTGAAGTGAAGATCCAGACCACAATATGAACAACAATGCCCGGCAAACATGCACAAAGTATAGGAGGAAACAGACAACAAAAGCAGACTGAGGAACATGTAAATTAGTAAAGTAAATAACAAATTACACCTTCATCTAAGATGCAAAGTCCAAGAGGACATCATAAAAGCTGAATGTCTCACATTCTCATGAATTCATTATATTGACTATTTGCTGTTCATGAAAGTTTAAACTTGAAATCACTTCAAGTGACATGGATACAAACAGCGCACAACAGATAGTGCCACAAAATGCAACCAAACCAGATCAGTAACTAGTAAACATTTAGTCCTGACTTACCATTTCCCATGAAGCATGTAAAGACAATTGACAGAATATACTGAAAAATATGACATTCTAGCTCAACACATTCAACAATTCATAGATGAATAAGAGGACAGGAAAAATAATTAGTAGTAAAGAAGGCTCATAGATCCACACATACTCTGGTTATTACTATCCCGAGCAAGCTTGGCAATGAGAGAAGATTTTCCAGAACCCGAAGGACCATATAAAAGAACAGGCCACTTCTGACTCACTGCCAACAGGACCCTCTCAAAACTTTTCTTCACTTTTGATGTCAATATGAATGTATTACTTTTAAATTTATCATTCCTGAAACACAGAAGAGAACAAAATTCAGCACGTCCGCACAGGACATAAAGAATATCAGCAAGACTTGAGAGTTACCAATGAGAAGCTACAAGACATTAACGAAGTTGTGAAGAACCAAAAAAGCATTACTTTATCTAGAATTTTTTCTTGGGAAACAAAAAAAGTGTTTGAGAAAGTTGGCACCCTATGATGGTAAGCAAATAAATACTATTCAATTTAAATCCCAAACAAAATCAAAATTAACTAGTAAGAAAAAAGTAATAAAAGAATGGTTAAATTCAAAATAAAATAGGCTGTACCATGTGGCAAGCTTTGGACTCCTCCAAGGTGGCTCAACACCATGCACCTCCGGCAAGCTAACAGCCTGAAAATCAAGACCAAAGGATTGTAAACAGTTCTCTTGGCTAAAACCGATGCCTCTATCCAAAGAACCTGGCATATTTTGCGCCACTGGCCTGGAATACAATCCAGCTTTCTCTATTGATGTATCCTGGCAGAATGCTTCCCAACTGAAAACAGAAGATGAAGATCGTAATGTAACCAGAACTATGTTTTGACACCAATATCGAACAGAAAAAAAGCAAACACTACCAACCGCAAAAGACACTTAGATGCTTGTTCTGATCCAATATTCAAGTTTTGACTCGCCCCATAACTCAATTTGAAGACAATGGTTATTATTTGCACCCCACACCAAATCAGGTCAGTTGCTTCAGCTGTGACATATTCACCGATGGGCTCTTCCAAGAAGTCCATGAAACATGACCAGTCCCAGAGCTTCGAGAAAACTTCAGTTTTCATGATGAGGAAACGGTATGATATTTGGGCAACAAGCAGTTCACTGGTTTCAATCTGGAGAAAAAAACGGACACAACTTGTTAATAACATGTGAGAGAACTCCAAATTGATCCATAGATTAAAATTATGTGCACCAAAAAAAGAAAATTTCTACCAACCTTAACCCCCATTGATGGGGTAGCTTGTTGCCTCGAAAATCGTTGAAACGGAGAAGGAGCAAACTTGAAGTAGTTTAACACAGAACTGCACCAATCAGCCAAATTAATCATATCAAACTATATCATAATAAAATTAATGAAAAGCCAAATTGCTGAAAAGTTCCAATTAGCAAAATCTTTGACCACAACTCAAAATAATACATAGAAGAAAAGACATCACTATGTATCCAACCTTTCTCCAAAGATCAAATCTTGCCCAAGACAATATCATGTGAATTTCCAAATAAAGGAGAACTATCTATTGAAGTTATACTCCTGATACTTATTAATGCTTTTCCAGCAGGACATTTGGTAATTGAAAGAGAGTACTCCCTACCCTTTCCCTTTCCTTTGATTTTTCATTTTTGTTCATTTAAGGCAGAATTTCTAATGAACGCTGAATTGGAAAACTTATTTCCAACAATGAGAAAAAAATTATATCTTCAAAAAAATTAATAATACATTTACTGGGAACACAAGAATCAAAGCAATTGAACATATATGCTTACCGCAATCGAGAAGATTTTTTCTGTGAAACAATGCATATATGAGCAAAAACATAATTAAGAACAAGTGTGCTCATATAATTAGATAACTATTTCGCTTATACTCCAGAATCAAAGAAATTTCCGTTACCAACTTGCCACACCAAAAAGAAAAAAATACGCTACAACATTAGAACAACTTCAGACTTATGTAGACACTTAACAGTTAACATCTAACAGGATTCCACACAAGATTGTATTGCCTATAAATCAAGAGACACTTTGATTTCTTAGTTTTCAAGAATAATAATTAACACTAATTCCTTCGTCCTTATTCTAGGATTATTACAGATAAAAATATATAGAGGAAAAATAAGGGCGCATGGAGAACTGGAAGGTTCGAGTGGAGGGGGAAAAATTAAATAAAAACAGGTTCATGCAAAAAATTACAGGGAAGAACTAACCCAAGTAGAAAAGGAGCCATGTCAAGAGCACGACAGAAGGCCAAACAAGCAAGTTCATGAAGATCTAGACCCCTTCCATGTTTGCTATAAAACTCAATCACATTCACAATTTCATCTGAAACTTTGACAAAATCATCTTCCATGATAGTACTCTGAACATTAGACCTTAAATTTGGCACAAGCCGAAGCAGGTCTATAGTTTTATCTGTAAATTTTCGGGCAATGGGACAGAAGCATCCCATTAATGGAATAGTATAGGAAGGGTGCAGAAAAACGCCCACAAAATTATTCACAACATCCTCCTCCGTAACCAAGTGTCCCTGCAGAAAAAACCGTACATTTAATCATTAAAATTATGTCCATGCCACTTATCTTGGCCTTCTTAATGATTAACAAATAGAATTCACGTATAATGCAATATAATCTATACCTTTCTTGTGAGGGAATAAAACTGTGGAAAAGATTGAAGCTTTGGAAAACGGTCGAGAAATCTTTCGACCGCTGAATGAAGGCTAAAACTGCCGTCAATAGCCATTTGTACCTGAAAAACTTCTCTATGTCCGGTCAAAGTAAGTAATTAAAAGAATATGTGTGTATAAATTGTAAGTTTCAAATTCGTCTCCGTGCAACCTGGCCTAAAAAAAGAAAATCATCAGTAACAAAACATTAAATAAAAATTCTGGGCGGCTTGCTACTTTCAATCAGAAAAGTAAAATGGAACAAGGCCAGGGAGAAAGAAGTTGTCCCGGGATAAATAGGATAGGCTAAAACTTCGAATAAACCCAACTTCAAAATAAATCGATATAGCAGTAACGACTAAGAGCTTTGAGAGGGTGGATAGTAGGGCGTGCTAGGCCTCGACCTAAGGAAGTGTCAGCGAAGGGAGAAGCCTTCTCTTTCGGAGGAGGAGGGAAAGCAAGAACAACCGCCTCTGCTTCACCGAGTCTTTGGAGGTCTTGGCGCCGCAGGGTTTAGGGTTTAAAAAAGGAACATTAACGGACAAAAATTGAGGGCACTATATTTTAAAAGAAAATAAGAGAAGAGAAAAAGTACCGTCATTACTCAACTTTCCAATCAAATAAAGCTTTATTAATCATTTATTTGTTTTTGGCAGTGATTGCGATTCATTGACCTAATTTGCATTGCCAGTTACCAATCTTACAATCTACTACCTCTTATACTTAATATAAGAACTAGTTTACCGAATTGAATAGATTTAAAAAATTAATTAAACTAATTATTTATAATAAATAAGTATTGTTTTATCTAAAATATCCTTACTAATTATGTATATTAACTGGAGTTACTATTTAATAAAATATTTAACATGTGTAACTATTAGAGGACTACCTAAAAAGAATAAATAATTATGAAAGTCAAAATGAATTGAGGCCTTATATTTAGTATCAAATTAAAAATCAAATTAACTTTTATATTCAAAATCCGCAACAACAATTAAGTTGGTACATTAAAAACATGTAATATTTCGTACAAAATATAGATTCTATATTTAAAACAAAAAGAATATTATAAATACTTGATTGTAACGTACGCTTGGCGTAAATGCCTAAATGGTGTGTGTGTGAAGAATTGTGATTAGTTTCTGACCCAAAAAAAAAGAAGAAGAAGAAGAAGAATTGTGATTAGTTTGTATAGTGACTAAGCATCATATGAACCAGAAATGGTCAAAAATAAAAATAAAATAAAAAGAAGAATTAGTAAAATTAAAAGCTAGTAAACTTGTATGCTTGTGTGATGAAATGCATAAATGCTTTGCTTGATCCTGATGAATCATGTATAACGTTTGACGCTGATCTGATACCAGGATATCACGTGCGTCAAGTACATATTTTTGGTCTATTACCCCTTTTTCTCCAAAAAATTTGCAAGGATTGCTTAACTGTTATTTTCATCCAACATTTCTCATTCATATGGTCCCAAATTTCTCATATTACAGACTAATCATAATATTCAATATACATAAATCGTTGGTGTATTTATTTTGCGCAGGCATTACAATCAATCATCAATTACACACAGTAAGAAATATTGCAAATATAAATTATTAGACTTTATAAGCACAAGTTGATCTAGAACAATTACCTCAAGCTCATAATTTTATTTAAACTGCTGTACTTTTATGTGACTCATATCTTATTTGAATCTGAACTTTATAGAATCTTTACTCTTGATTGAAAATGAATTCTACAATTTTCTTGGTCACAAATTAACTCGATAATATTTCGAAATTAAAAGGATGAAGGAAATGTAGATACTTACGAAATCCAAAAATTATTAAATCTAGTTGGTCATTCCATTTAATCTCACACCTTCAACATTTCCTTCACTTATCAAATGTCTACGTTCCATCTGCATTCAATAGGCCTTTCTTTAAAAAGAAAAAAAAATATCATAATATGTTCTAAATGGTAGTTCTTTAATCCTGCACGTATCAACTAAATAACTAATTTGTAAAAATTAAAAATTAATTAAATTAGTTTTAAAAAAAATATGTTTGTTGATTTTATTTTTTTTAATCATTTGTATCAGACACTACTTCCTTAATAATGAAAATCATCCTTAATTAATGTAATTAATATGAAAAATTGTAGGGAAATATAATATAAATTTAAAAGATAAATGGATGGAATAGAATCTTATAATCAGAAGTCAAAACAAACTCTTTTAATAACTCTTACATTTATGATTAGAGAAAATATCATAAAATTTCACCCAAAAAAAGAAAGTACTCCTCCGACCCTTAAAGTATAAGATTTAATTAACTAATTTGAGTTGATTAAAGATGTTGGTTAAATTAGTTAATATGATTTTTTTTAAACTCTTTAAGCATCTTCCTTAATTCCCTTCATCCTTCTCCTACTTGATTATTGTTAGGGGAATATTAATAGGGTTAACTTAAAAAAATTGATATATATAAAATATGTCTTATATATAGAATCAACATTTACTTCCTAATTATCTTTTATATTAAGAACCAGATGAGTGTCATAGAATTAGTAGAGTTGACAGTAACATAGTATGGCTAACATTTAAGACAGACAGGAGTGCATATAAGTAAGACAGGGCAAGATCCTTACTCAATGTCTAGCCCGAAAGATGTTAGCCCTACCTAATGAAAGCCTGAAGCAATTTTGGATGGGGTTGGATAGGATAGGATTTCATGCCCAGATAATGACACCTTATTCATATTATGTAAACATCTATACCAGAATTAATGAGTAATGTTTTGGACTTTAAATATAATTTATAATTTCACAACTTAAAATATTTCAAGAAAAGAAATATAAACACCATATAAAAATCCACATATTTATCATTTCATATCTCCTTTTAATTATATAATCAAACATAACACAGGTCTTCGTACAACATTCATGATCATATATGTCAACAACTTAACTCTTGAAATATTTCATTCTATCACATATATATTAAATACAATTATATATAATAAATATATGTGTAATATATATTTATTAAATAGAATTATATATATATATATATAAAAACTTTGGACATGGCCGAATGGGTAGAGCAATATATCTTGCCTATCCCCTAACCCTGCCCGACTCAAAAATACCCAATTGTTTTTTCAAACTGCTTTCTCAAGACTAGGAATGAGTATAATTCTAGTGGACTCGACCGAACATTGTGGGTTTTTGGGCCCATCAACACCCCTTTGATCACATAATGAAAAGTTTAATTAGATGCACTAGCCCAAAAAAATATCCCAATAGCCAAAGAAATCAACCCCAAGTCTGTAACCCATAGACTGAAGTTGCAATCAATGGTAGAGCCCACACGTGACGTTGAAGCGCTCTCAAGCACATATAACGTACTGTTGAAATCCTTGCCAATGTGCCAAGGAGCATCAATATACTTATGTATCTCCCCCAATGCCTGCCAAAGAGTCCGTCGTTTAATAGGATTAGGGCTAGCATAGATAGCTGTGAAGTAAGCTTTAGTGGTGCCGTCTTCTATGTAAAAGTGAATATATTGTTCGTGAGTACTAATGATTCTACAACTCCAAGCAGTCTTCTTCCATAGCACCCACAAACCCCCACTATAGCCATGAGCATCAACCAAAGAGAATTTATCAAAGCCCAGAGATTGGGTGATCTTTGTTGCTTTATTACCACTTGATATGGTTTCAAGAATAGCCAAGATGTCAATATTATGTTTTTTAGAGAGTTCACAGATCAAACTCAGAAACGCTTTTGATCCTGTTCCTTTGCTATTCCAAAAAAGAAATTTCATTGGGAAATAGTGGTAGAGGGTTGAGCTTGGAAGCTCATTTCACTTGCCGCACCGTCGGTTTCCATAGTCTCTTGTGACATGAAGCTTGCATTATTAACTGGAGGATTCACTGCTCCGTCTGGCCTTGAGGTCTGACCAATCTGATCCGAGGGCCCTTCTCCGTCCTCCTCCATAAGTGCACTGAAGGGGTTACTAGATGATAGGAAGTTGGTGCTCGGCCCAGCTATTGCTTTGGGCCTCAACACATGGCGGTCATTCTCTTTCCCTTTTGTTTTTAGGCTGTTGACTTTCTTTCTATCATGAACCACTGGGACCCATTTTTTATTATTAGTAAGATCCTTGCCAAAAGCTTGAGGATCTGATTTCGGTCCTAGCATGAAACTCGTCCTTTCCATCTCCATAATAAAAGGCCTAGAGTTAGGCTTCCACATATCCCGTGCAATCTTCACTCCCTGATTCTGAGTCAGATTTTTTGCCTGAATGGACTCTCTCGGGTCCCTGGAATCTAGATTATGGGTGCGCCGTCGTGGTGGCTGTTTCATAAGGTTCCACTCTCCCAACACCACTGTGGTAGGTGCTGTTACTTCCTCGGTGATGTCCATCATCGTTTTTCCACCTCTGGGACGCTTAATTCCCTGGTTTTCTACCTCACTATTCACATAGGTTGAGATCTTAGAACCTGGTTCTGCACCATCTCCCCCTTCTTTCTTTTCTGCCACCCTCTCCATCTCCTTTCCGCTTCCTTTCTCTGTCTCTCTACATTGCGCAACAGGTTGGGGTCTACCCTGGGGATTGGGACAGGCATCTCTGTGGTGACCGTAAACACCGCAATGGAAACTTACAAGGTGCAAGCCTTCATACTCAATGTATTTCTCTTTTCCAAAGATACGGACTGCCGGAGTGAGACGTCTTTTGAGATCAAGTTCTACACACAATATTGCATATCTTCCCCTCGCCATTAAGTAAGTGATCGAATCCACCTTGAGTGTTTTTCCTATGAGCCCTCTAATTTTCCTCAAGCTTTCCTCATTAAAAAACTCTAGGGGGAGAAGTGGAATACATACCCAAGCCGCTATTTTCCTTTGATGCTCTGCCATCCAAGGGTCAAAATTAGGTCACCAGTGTTGAATAAGAAGGTAGTGATCTACTGCCATCCAAGGACCTTCACAATGCACATGATTTAAATCATCCTCATTCTGGAAAGAGACAACAAAATACCTATTGTCGATATCCCTAGTGTCAAAGCGCTCCCTGGTTTTCCATAAACATTGGAGACAAATCTTCAGACCCCATAATGGAATATTCTTACCCAGTATTTTAATAATCAGTGATTTTTTCCATGGTGCACACCATCTCTCATACTCCTCTCTCGTCACACCCAGAGTAGGAATCAAGTCCTTGCCTTCGGAATGTTGGGAGTTTATTCCATGATCGCTTTGGTCCTTCTCGCAACTCTCCCCAAAATAATCATTCAGACTATCAATGTACCCCTTCTATGCGTCCTCAAAAACTGAACTCCCTCTTGAATCAAAGGACGAGGCTTTAGGGTTAGCATCAATAAGTTTATCCTTGTATGACAGGTTCTGTTCTGGCCCTGCATGCTTCTTAGTCTGGTCGCTTACGTCCTCTATACTCTGCTTAGATTTTTTCTTGGTGCTGTCCCTATCATCATTGTCCTCCGCCCCTCCTCCGCTCCCTGCTGTGCCGCCGCTCTCCCCTCTGTCTTTGCTCATTTGTGTTTTCTTAGAGCGTATTCTTGTATCCTCTCAAAAAAAAAAGTGCATTAACAACCAAATCTTTAAATATATTGTCAACCGGAATATCTCGTTTAATAATATCATGAAGTGTTATTCCTGGTCTTCCCTCTGCTCTTTTTACAGAACTCTAAACTGTCTAATATACTCTTTCCACCAACACCTCCAATGACCTTCTCTACACATACTCAAACCATTTCAAACGATATTTAACTATTTTCTCTTCGATGAATGCACACTTACTTGTGCTCTTATATTTTCATTTTGAATCTTATCTTTTCTTATATGATCACGCATTCATTTCAATATCCTCATTTCAATTACCCCATTCACCTTATCAAATGGTGTAAAATTTTGTACTTTAATATTTGTTTAGTCCATTTGAAAATTTAAACTGTTAATCTAGAAAAATAAAATACAGAAGTTGGATATTCTATAACCTTTTAAGCATTTTTTATGTTTATTCTTCAATTATAAAAATTAACCCATAAAGTGACCTTTTTCTCCCTGCTCACAAAAAACCTATGCTTAAATGATACTCCTCCAGTCCTTAATATAAGACTCATTTAACTAATTTGATTATATTAAGAAAGTTAGGTAATTTAGTTAATTATAAAAAAAGTAACACATTTTTCCTAAAACATCATAATCATCTTTCTGAATACCTCCTCTCCCTCTTCTACTTAATTATTGTTGAGAGAGTATCCATAAGGGTAATTTAGAGAAAATTGATAAATATGAGAAATGAGTCTTATATTTAGGGTCAAAACCAACTCAAGAATTGGGTTATATATTGAACCAACTCAAGAATTGGGTTATATATTAAGGACCAGAGAAGTACTTGGTTTTGGACAGTTAAGGGTATAAAATTTGTCTCCTCGACAATAACAATATTATTATTATTATTATTATTATTATTATTATTATTATTATTATTATTATTATAAAATACCCCCTTTAATTTTAATAAAAATTAATTGAAAAATATCTGTTGATAATAAATATAAAACATCAATTTCTCACTCCAATTTATTTCATAAATTTATAATTTTTAATCAAACAATGTTTTTTGTGTTCTCTTTCTTTTATAATTAATGGGACCGCTTGCATCCCAGCCAAACAACTTGGTTTTTATCAAACAGTTTTATTACTTAACACGATTTCGTTCTTTTAGCAATGGAACTTTCGGATCAGCTGGTAAGGTTTTGCCTTGAATGATCCTGCTTCCGCCGCCATTTGCCCATCTGCTGTTTAAAAAGGTGATTCTCACGTTTTCCGTCTTCAGCGCACTTCGTTGAGCAGCCAATACGAAAGTGACCCGTTCTCTTGCCCGCCGTATCTCCCTCATGGCCTCCTCTTCTCTGTTTCAGGGTTCTCCATTCACCTTCAAATGCAAGTCCTCCGTTCCATGCCCGCCAACCAAATCCAACGCCTTACCCAATCATCTCATCATCAAAGCTCAATCTCAATCTCAATCTGGATCGCCAAGTACCCAGAACAACTCTGTCCCCTCTGCTCCGAAACAGCGTCGCCCCGCCGACGAGAACATTCGCGAGGAGGCTCGCCGTATCAATGTTGGCCACCGCCATCAATTTTCTGCCAAGTACGTCCCTTTTAACGCAGACCCTTCGTCTACGGAGTCCTACTCTCTGGACGAGATCGTGTATCGGTCCCAATCTGGTGGGCTGCTTGATGTTCAGCACGATATGGAAGCGTTGAAGAAATACGACGGCGAGTATTGGCGCAACCTTTTTGACTCTCGGGTGGGTAAGACCACGTGGCCTTATGGGTCCGGCGTTTGGAGCAAGAAGGAATGGGTGTTGCCCGAGATCGATGGTGACGATATTGTGAGCGCTTTTGAGGGGAATTCGAATCTGTTCTGGGCTGAGCGTTTTGGCAAACAGTTTCTGGGCATGAACGAGTTGTGGGTGAAGCACTGTGGGATTAGTCACACTGGGAGCTTCAAAGATCTCGGTATGACTGTATTGGTGAGCCAGGTCAATAGATTGCGAAAAATGAATCGACCTGTTGTGGGTGTTGGTTGTGCCTCTACAGGTGACACTTCTGCTGCTTTATCTGCATATTGTGCTTCTGCAGGGATCCCATCAATTGTTTTCTTGCCCGCAAATCGGATTTCTATTGCTCAATTGGTCCAGCCAATTGCAAATGGTGCTTTTGTGTTGAGCCTTGATACTGATTTTGATGGGTGTATGCAGTTGATTAGGGAAGTCACCGCCGAATTGCCTATCTATTTGGCTAATTCTTTGAACAGCTTGAGACTGGAGGGGCAGAAGACGGCGGCTATTGAGATTTTGCAACAATTTGATTGGGAAGTCCCTGATTGGGTCATAGTGCCAGGAGGAAATTTGGGGAATATATATGCATTTTACAAGGGGTTTCGAATGTGTAAGGATTTAGGACTTGTTGATAGGATTCCAAGGCTTGTTTGTGCTCAAGCTGCAAATGCGAATCCCCTGTATTTATACTTCAAGTCTGGATGGAAAGAGTTTAATGCCATAAGGGCTAGCCCTACCTTTGCATCTGCCATACAAATTGGCGATCCTGTTTCCATAGACAGAGCTGTCTATGCCTTGAAGAATTCAGATGGAATTGTTGAGGAAGCAACTGAGGAAGAATTAATGGATGCTATGGCTCAAGCAGACTCCACTGGCATGTTTATTTGTCCCCATACTGGGGTTGCTTTGACTGCACTGATTAAACTAAGAAACAGTGGGGTCATAAAGCCTACAGATCGGACTGTTGTTGTGAGTACTGCTCATGGATTGAAGTTTACCCAGTCAAAAATTGATTATCATTCCAGAGCTATAAAGGATATGGCTTGCCGATTTGCTAACCCACCAGTGCAAGTGAAGGCTGACTTTGGGTCAGTCATGGATGTTTTGCAGAAGTATTTGCTGAGTAAGGCTCCAAAGCATTAATTAGACATGCCATTTTTGCTCTTGATTATCAGTCTACCTAGGTACTGTAATGTCTTTATAGTAGCTTCAAGTTTTTGTGTTCTAATAGCATTCTGTACGGTGCTCCTGTTCTATTTTGCTTATTGTTGTAGACTATCTTTGTTGAGCGTTTTATGGCCCTGAGACGCGAATTTGATCCAATTTGAATTCCAGATCAATCTAATACTTTTTCACTGCGCATTAATCTGAGGGGTGAACATTCTGAACTGGGCCGTGAGTTCTGAAAAATAACAGAACCACGTTGCAGGTAGGTATTTCTGGTATCTCT